ACGTTTAAATTGAAAAATAAGCTTATTTTGCGATCACTCTCATTATCCCTTCAAAATCGATTTTTTGGTCAGAAATCATATAGAAACTTAAATCGCTTATAACTTTGTTAAAACACGTTTAAATTGAAAAATAAGCTTAATTTGCGATCACTCTCATTATCCCTTAAAAATCGATTTTTTAGTCAAAAATCATATAGAAACTTAAATCGCTTATAACTTTGTTAAAACACGTTTAAATTGAAAAATAAGCTTATTTTGTGATCACTCTCATTATCCCTTAAAAATCGATTTTTTAGTCAAAAATCATACAGAAACTTAAATCGCTTATAACTTCGTTAAAACACGTTTAAATTGAAAAATAAGCTTATTTTGCGAACACTCTAATTATCATTTCAAAATCGATTTTTTGGTCAGAAATCATATAGAAACTTAAATCGCTTATAACTTCGTTAAAACACGTTTAAATTGAAAAAAAGCTTATTTTGTGATCACTCTTATTATCCCTTAAAAATCGATTTTTTAGTCAAAAATCATATAGAAACTTAAATCGCTTATAACTTCGTTAAAACACGTTTAAATTGATAAATAAGCTTATTTTGTGATCACTCTTATTATCCCTTCAAAATCGATTTTTTAGTCAGAAAACGTTTAAATTGAAAAATAAGCTTATTTTGTGATCACTCTCATTATCCCTTCAAAATCGATTTTTTGGTCTGAAATCATATAGAAACTTAAATCGCTTATAACTTCGTTAAAACACGTTTAAATTGAAAAATAAGCTTATTTTGTGATCACTCTTATTATCCCTTAAAAATCGATTTTTTAGTCAAAAATCATATAGAAACTTAAATCGCTTATAACTTTGTTAAAACACGTTTAAATTTAAAAATAAGCTTATTTTGTGATCACTCTCATTATCCCTTCAAAATCGATTTTTTGGTCAGAAATCATATAGAAACTTAAATCGCTTATAACTTCGTTAAAACACGTTTAAATTGAAAAATAAGCTTATTTTGTGATCACTCTTATTATCCCTTAAAAATCGATTTTTTAGTCAAAAATCATATAGAAACTTAAATCGCTTATAAATTCGTTAAAACAAGTTTAAATTGAAAAATAAGCTTATTTTGTGATCACTCTCATTATCCCTTAAGAATCGATTTTTTAGTCAAAAATCATATAGAAACTTAAATCGCTTATAACTTCGCTAAAACACGTTTAAATTGAAAAATAAGCCTATTTTGTGATCACTCTCATTATCCCTTCAATATCGATTTTTTGGTCAGAAATCATATAGAAACTTAAATCGCTTATAACTTCGTTAAAACACGTTTAAATTGAAAAATAAGCTTATTTTGTGATCACTCTTATTATCCCTTAAAAATCGATTTTTTAGTCAAAAATCATATAGAAACTTAAATCGCTTATAACTTCGTTAAAACACGTTTAAATTGAAAAATAAGCTTATTTTGTGATCACTCTTATTATCCCTTAAAAATCGATTTTTTAGTCGAAAATCATATAGAAACTTAAATCGCTTATAACTTCGTTAAAACACGTTTAAATTGAAAAATAAGCTTATTTTGTGATCACTCTTATTATCCCTTAAAAATCGATTTTTTAGTCAAAAATCATATAGAAACTTAAATCGCTTATAACTTCGTTAAAACACGTTTAAATTGAAAAATAAGCTTATTTTGCGATCACTCTCATTATCCCTTCAAAATCGATTTTTTGGTCAGAAATCATATAGAAACTTAAATCGCTTATAACTTTGTTAAAACACGTTTAAATTGAAAAATAAGCTTAATTTGCGATCACTCTCATTATCCCTTAAAAATCGATTTTTTAGTCAAAAATCATATAGAAACTTAAATCGCTTATAACTTTGTTAAAACACGTTTAAATTGAAAAATAAGCTTATTTTGTGATCACTCTCATTATCCCTTAAAAATCGATTTTTTAGTCAAAAATCATACAGAAACTTAAATCGCTTATAACTTCGTTAAAACACGTTTAAATTGAAAAATAAGCTTATTTTGCGAACACTCTAATTATCATTTCAAAATCGATTTTTTGGTCAGAAATCATATAGAAACTTAAATCGCTTATAACTTCGTTAAAACACGTTTAAATTGAAAAAAAGCTTATTTTGTGATCACTCTTATTATCCCTTAAAAATCGATTTTTTAGTCAAAAATCATATAGAAACTTAAATCGCTTATAACTTCGTTAAAACAGGTTTAAATTGAAAAATAAGCTTATTTTGTGATCACTCTTATTATCCCTTCAAAATCGATTTTTTAGTCAAAAATCATATAGAAACTTAAATCGCTTATAACTTCGTTAAAACACGTTTAAATTGAAAAATAAGCTTATTTTGTGATCACTCTTATTATCCCTTAAAAATCGATTTTTTAGTCAAAAATCATATAGAAACTTAAATCGCTTATAACTTCGTTAAAACACATTTAAATTGAAAAATAAGCTTATTTTGTGATCACTCTTGTTATCCCTTAAAAATCGATTTTTTAGTCAGAAAACGTTTAAATTGAAAAATAAGCTTATTTTGTGATCACTCTCATTATCCCTTCAAAATCGATTTTTTGGTCTGAAATCATATAGAAACTTAAATCGCTTATAACTTCGTTAAAACACGTTTAAATTGAAAAATAAGCTTATTTTGTGATCACTCTTATTATCCCTTAAAAATCGATTTTTTAGTCAAAAATCATATAGAAACTTAAATCGCTTATAACTTTGTTAAAACACGTTTAAATTTAAAAATAAGCTTATTTTGTGATCACTCTCATTATCCCTTCAAAATCGATTTTTTGGTCAGAAATCATATAGAAACTTAAATCGCTTATAACTTCGTTAAAACACGTTTAAATTGAAAAATAAGCTTATTTTGTGATCACTCTTATTATCCCTTAAAAATCGATTTTTTAGTCAAAAATCATATAGAAACTTAAATCGCTTATAAATTCGTTAAAACAAGTTTAAATTGAAAAATAAGCTTATTTTGTGATCACTCTTATTATCCCTTAAAAATCGATTTTTTAGTCAAAAATCATATAGAAACTTAAATCGCTTATAACTTCGTTAAAACACGTTTAAATTGAAAAATAAGCTTATTTTGTGATCACTCTCATTATCCCTTAAAAATCGATTTTTTAGTCAAAAATCATATAGAAACTTAAATCGCTTATAACTTTGTTAAAACACGTTTAAATTGAAAAATAAGATTATTTTGTGATCACTCTTGTTATCCCTTAAAAATCGATTTTTTAGTCAAAAATCATATAGAAACTTAAATCGCTTATAACTTCGTTAAAACACGTTTAAATTGAAAAATAAGCTTATTTTGTGATCACTCTTATTATCCCTTAAAAATCGATTTTTTAGTCAAAAATCATATAGAAACTTAAATCGCTTATAACTTCGTTAAAACACGTTTAAATTGAAAAATAAGCTTATTTTGTGATCACTCTCATTATCCCTTAAAAATCGATTTTTTAGTCAAAAATCATATAGAAACTTAAATCGCTTATAACTTTGTTAAAACACGTTTAAATTGAAAAATAAGATTATTTTGTGATCACTCTTGTTATCCCTTAAAAATCGATTTTTTAGTCAAAAATCATATAGAAACTTAAATCGCTTATAACTTCGTTAAAACACGTTTAAATTGAAAAATAAGCTTATTTTGTGATCACTCTTATTATCCCTTCAAAATCGATTTTTTAGTCAAAAATCATATAGAAACTTAAATCGCTTATAACTTCGTTAAAACACGTTTAAATTGAAAAATAAGCTTATTTTGTGATCACTCTCATTATCCCTTCACAGTCGATTTTTTGGTCAGAAATCATATAGAAACTTAAATCGCTTATAACTTCGTTAAAACACGTTTAAATTGAAAAATAAGCTTATTTTGCGATCACTCTCATTATCCCTTAAAAATCGATTTTTTAGTCAAAAATCATACAGAAACTTAAATCGCTTATAACTTCGTTAAAACACGTTTAAATTGAAAAAAAAGCTTATTTTGTGATCACTCTTATTATCCCTTAAAAATCGATTTTTTAGTCAAAAATCATATAGAAACTTAAATCGCTTATAACTTCGTTAAAACACGTTTAAATTGAAAAATAAGCTTATTTTGTGATCACTCTCATTATCCCTTCACAGTCGATTTTTTGGTCAGAAATCATATAGAAACTTAAATCGCTTATAACTTCGTTAAAACACGTTTAAATTGAAAAATAAGCTTATTTTGTGATCACTCTCATTATCCCTTAAAAATCGATTTTTTAGTCAAAAATCATACAGAAACTTAAATCGCTTATAACTTCGTTAAAACACGTTTAAATTGAAAAATAAGCTTATTTGTGATCACTCTCATTATCCCTTAAAAATCGATTTTTTAGTCAAAAATCATACAGAAACTTAAATCGCTTATAACTTCGTTAAAACACGTTTAAATTGAAAAAAAGCTTATTTTGTGATCACTCTTATTATCCCTTAAAAATCGATTTTTTAGTCAAAAATCATATAGAAACTTAAATCGCTTATAACTTCGTTAAAACACGTTTAAATTGAAAAATAAGCTTATTTTGTGATCACTCTCATTATCCCTTCAAAATCGATTTTTTGGTCAGAAATCATATAGAAACTTAAATCGCTTATAACTTCGTTAAAACAAGTTTAAATTGAAAAATAAGCTTATTTTGTGATCACTCTCATTATCCCTTAAGAATCGATTTTTTAGTCAAAAATCATATAGAAACTTAAATCGCTTGTAACTTCGCTAAAACACGTTTAAATTGAAAATAAGCTTATTTTGTGATCACTCTTATTATCCCTTAAAAATCGATTTTTTAGTCAAAAATCATATAGAAACTTAAATCGCTTATAACTTTGTTAAAACACGTTTAAATTGAAAAATAAGCTTATTTTGTGATCACTCATATTTTCCTCCACACTACAGACTTTTATTTTCTCTGGAATTAAATATTACTTTATTTTCACCTTAAACATAATTACTTTTCAATATTAATTCCATCATATCCTCCACACATTCCAGCATATAACTACCAAATTCCTTATCATTTTTCATTAGTTCCAAAACCTCCTGTGTACGATCGACATTTGTATAATGATGGAAATCCTCTGGTCGATTCAGTTTCATATCCTTCAAATAATCTCCGGGAACTCTTAGAATCGTAGCACACATACAATTGTAAAGGGCGCCAAATAAAGCCAATTCCTTAAGAGACTTTAAGAAATCCTCGTACGTTATGAAGTCTTCAGACTTTAAACCCATATTTGATAATTCCTGAGAAAATTCTTTATAATAATATTGAAAACAATCCTTTTCAATCAGCTTTCTATCGCAAGGTTTCATATTTATGTATAAAGTCATAAGAATATCTATAGCAGCCGGTGAGTAGCGACACAATTGAAAGTCCACAAATACGGCGCCTTTCTTATACGGATCGCTTTTGGCAAAGAAAACATTTCCACCCCAGACATCACGGTGACAGAAGACATTACAATATTTCGTAGAAGGATTAACCATATCGTATACAGTATTTAGTATCGAAGGCAATTCATTTTTGATGAAAAGTTGTAAAGGTTCAGCTTGATATAGGGGGTGTTTGAGGGTTACCGCCAAAACAGCCTGTTCAAAAATACCCCATAATTTAAAATATTCCTTTTTTAAATTGAAAAAATATATACCTTAAGCCCGGCTGTATACCAGACCACTCTGGGGGAAACTGTTACCTCGTATAACACATCCTTTAGTAGTTCATCAATTTTAGTTTGTTTCTGTTTTTCAAATCCCAAACTGCAGGCATGCATGGAGGCTAAGCCTCTTAGTATAGTTTCTATTGATTGTTTATTTAAAAAGTTGGTCACTTCCTTTAAGGGTTCATAACCCAAGTCCACAATATTTTGCATAACAAATAGATCGGGTTTCACCAAATAACATTCGGCACACCAGATGTTGGGAGCTAAGGAAAAAAAATCAAAAACGTTTCGATTACAATCAATGTATATTCATGAGATAATTGGTAGATAGATATCTTTCTATTTCTATAGAAAACTTATCGATTGATATCTTTCTATTTCTATAAAAACTTTATCGATCGATAGCTTTCTATTCCTACAGAAAAGTTATCGATCGATAGCTTTCTATTCCTACAGAAAAGTTATCGATCGATAGCTTTCTATTACTGTAGAAAAGTTATCGATCGATAGCTTTCTATTACTATAGAAAAGTTATCGATCGATAGCTTTCTATTACTATAGAAGAGTTATCGATCGATAGCTTTCTATTACTATAGAAGAGTTATCGATCGATAGCTTTCTATTACTATAGAAGAGTTATCGATCGATAGCTTTCTATTACTATAGAAGAGTTATCGATCGATAGCTTTCTATTACTATAGAAAAGTTATCGATCGATAGCTTTCTATTACTATAGAAGAGTTATCGATCGATAGCTTTCTATTACTATAGAAGAGTTATCGATCGATAGCTTTCTATTACTATAGAAGAGTTATCGATCGATAGCTTTCTATTACTATAGAAAAGTTATCGATCGATAGCTTTCTATTACTATAGAAAAGTTGTCGATCGATAGCTTTCTATTACTATAGAAAAGTTGTCGATCGATAGCTTTCTATTACTATAGAAAAGTTGTCGATCGATAGCTTTCTATTACTATAGAAAAGTTATCGATCGATAGCTTTCTATTACTATAGAAAAGTTATCGATCGATAGCTTTCTATTACTATAGAAAAGTTATCGATCGATAGCTTTCTATTACTATAGAAAAGTTATCGATCGATAGCTTTCTATTACTATAGAAAAGTTATCGATCGATAGCATTCTATTACTATAGAAAAGTTATCGATTGATAGCTTTCTATTACTATAGAAAAGTTATCGATTGATAGCTTTCTATTACTATAGAAAAGTTATCCATCGATATCTCTCTATTTCTATAGAAAACTTATCGATCGATATCTTTCTATTTCTATAGAAAACTTATCGATCGATATCTTTCTATTTCTATAGAAAACTTATCGATCGATATCTTTCTATTTCTATAGAAAACTTATCGATCGATATATTTCTAAAGAAAACTTATCGATCAATAACTTTTCATTTCTATAGAAAAGTTATCGATCGATTTCTATATCCATAGAAGAATTATCGATCGATTTCTATATCTATAGACAAGTATCGATATCTTACTATTCCTATAGAAAAGTTATCGATCGGTATCAAGTTTTCTTTATTTTTATCTCAACTCTTCACAAAACTTACAAAATTTCCTCAATTCGTTTAGTAGTCTCATATAAAGCGTTGACTCTTTTTTCAAAATACCTGATCTTTCGATAAAATCCGTCATATCGGGATTCTGATAGGGCATGGTTTTAACAAATAGACGTCTTTCCGTTACATTATTTTCCTGAGAAGACAACACCATCATATTAATTTAAACAATATAAGTATAACATACACTTTTGTACTCACATTTTCTAATTGATATTTTATATACAAATGAAAATATTCACCCAAATAGCCAACAGTGCCCAGCTCTGGTACGATATCATATGAAACCAATGACCCCTTAAGATTTTCTTCTTTTAAGATTTTCTCCAATATCAATTGACATTCTGCTGTAGTAACTAAATCGTGACGATGATGTCTTTCTAAAAGTTCTTTATTATTGTTTGTTTCACTCATTTTAATAAAATTTTTATTTTTGTTTTATTATTTTATGTTAAATTGTTTTTATTCTGTCTTCTTAAGGCACTTGAGATGATCACGTGTAGATTAAAATTTTACTCAGTTCAACAAAGATCTTTTAGCTTTCACTGTTTGTATAAAACTAATTGTTAAAGTTTCATTTCATTGCAAATATTTAATAAATTGTTATTTTAAAATTTACAATATTATTATATTTTTTTTATTTTAGTCTTTTCGTTCTGGTGGTGATAAGATAAGTAAGAGTGATTATAATTGTACAAAGAGACATATGGGGAACATTTTAGATTGAAGTGATCTAATCGTTTTTAATTAATTAATGTGAACTATACTAAATGCTAGTATTTACGAGAACTATAAATTAAGAGAAGAGATAAGAGAAACTTATCACTTATTATGGCGTAACTTCTCTTTGAAAATATGTGCTCTTTAACAAAAGCTTTTTAATGTGATCGACTATTACAACGGTTCATTTTTAAATAAGAGTGCAGATACATTCATTGATATTTATAAAATTAAAGTATAAATTTATCAATAGAAAAATTTACCAATAAAATTTACTTTATTGTCGAACTTCTTTAATCGAAACGATCATTTTTAATTCTTACTTTTTTTATTACAAAACTTTATCTTTATTACTTTTAATAAATATTTGACTTTATAGAAATATCCACAACCGCCTCTATAATGTCTTCTATACACTCCTCCATTAACATCCTGAATTCTTCATTTTCTTCCATATATTCCAATAGCTTTTCCGATCGTTCCTCATTCTTATAATAATCCGTTACAATTTCTTTGGGTACTTTTAAAATAGAGGCCGCCAAAGCTCTATAGACTAAACCAAACAACTGGAACTCTTCAATTGATTCCAAAAATTCAGCTTCTGAGAAAATCACTTCATTTAGGGATTTATCGCTGGGTAAATGATTCGTTACATGTTGCACCAATTGTTGGTAGTAATATTCCAAATAATCCGCTTGTTTTTCCAATCTCTCCTGTTTCGTTAAATTCATAAATAATGTAAAGATAACATCAATGGCTGGCGGACTATAGCGGCAAGTTTGAAAATCCACAAATACAGCCGATTTTTCAGGAATATCGTGGTGCAAAAAAATATTACCACCCCAAGTGTCACGATGACTCAAGACATTACGATATTTGGGTGAAGGATTCACCATAAAATAAATATTTTTCAAGTGAAGGGGCAATTCGTTGATAATAAATTTTTGTGATACTTCTGCTTGGTATTTTGAATGATGTTTGGCTACCTCGATTACAGCCTTGAGACCAGTTGTAAACCAGGGTATATCGGGGTGTACGGTAATCTCTTTAAGGCTTTCGTAATAGGTTTCTTCAATACTTTCTTCGTTATTTAATTCGTAGAGCAGACTGGAAGCATGCATTGCCGCAAGACCGTTTAGGATGGGAAACATTTCACTGTCACTTAGATTTTCTTTTGAGGCTAACGAATGAAAGCCTAAGCTGTCAAGATCTTCTAAAACTAAAAGATTTTGATAGCATAAATATACCTTGGGACACCAGGATTCGGTGGCTGTAAGAAGGCAAACATATTGAGGTGTTAAGACGAAATAGTAAAAGTTCTTAAAAGAATGCGATGTAGGCGATGAGTTTGTTATGTAATGTTATCGTTAACTTTTCTATAGAAATAGAAAGCTATCGATCATTAACTTTTCTACAGCAATAGAAAGCTATCGATCGTTAACTTTTCTATAGAAATAGAAGGCTATCGATCGTTAACTTTTCTATAGAAATAGAAGGCTAACGATCGTTAACTTTTCTATAGTAATAGAAAGCTATCGATCGATAACTTTTCTATAGTAATAGAAAGCTATCGATCGATAACTTTTCTATAGTAATAGAATGCTATCGATCGATAACTTTTCTATAGTAATAGAAAGCTATCGATCGATAACTTTTCTATAGTAATAGAAAGCTATCGATCGATAACTTTTCTATAGTAATAGAAAGCTATCGATCGATAACTCTTCTATAGTAATAGAAAGCTATCGATCGATAACTTTTCTATAGTAATAGAAAGCTATCGATCGATAACTTTTCTATAGTAATAGAAAGCTATCGATCGATAACTTTTCTATAGTAATAGAAAGCTATCGATCGATAACTTTTCTATAGTAATAGAAAGCTATCGATCGATAACTTTTCTATAGTAATAGAAAGCTATCGATCGATAACTTTTCTATAGTAATAGAAAGCTATCGATCGATAACTTTTCTATAGTAATAGAAAGCTATCGATCGATAACTTTTCTGTAGTAATAGAAAGCTATCGATCGATAACTTTTCTATAGTAATAGAAGGCTATCGATCGATAACTTTTCTATACTAATAGAAAGCTATCGATAGATAACTTTTTTATAATAATAGAAAGCTATCGATCGATAACTTTTCTATAGTAATATAAAGCTATCGATCGATAACTTTTCTATAGTAATAGAAAGCTATCGATCAATAACTTTTCTATAGTAATAGAAAGCTATAGATCGATAACCTTTCTGTAGGAATAGATAGCTATTCACATAGGATTCCTTTTCCTATAAGAATAAAAAGCCATCGATGAATAACCTTTCTAGAGGAATTGAATGCTATCGATTGATTACATATCTTTAGGAATATAATGCTATAGATCGATAACATTTGACTAGGAATGGAAAGCTGTCGATCGATAACATGTTAATAGAAATAGAAAACTATCGATCGATGATATATCTATACGAATAGAAAGCTATCTATTTCAGTAGAAATATAAAGCTATCGGTCGAAATTATTTCTATAGATATAGAAAGCTATCGATCGATAACATTTCATACAAAAAACTATGTTATCGATCGAATGTTTTTAAAAGTGTTGAAATTGAACTTTATTCGACATCCAAAACTTACAATATTTTTGCAATTTCGGCAATAGCGATCCATACAAAGCACTTTCTTTACGAAAAATCTTAACTTTTTCATGTTCTTCATCGACAGGTGGTAGATTTTTAATAAAAAATCTCAATAATATGGCATCACCATTATCGGCATCTTGATCAATTAACTGTAAATAATTTTAATTTGAAGCCTATAAATATGCTTTAATTTTCAACTAATTGACTTGAAATAATTAAAATGCTTACCCACCTCTTTATCATTGTCTGGCCTAAAACACTCAATTGTTAAATGAAAATATTCACCCAAAAATCCTTTAGCTTCTGTAGCCGAAATAATGTTAAACGTTTTGATTTGTAACTGTTGGCCGGTTTCTTGATTTAATTTATCGACAATTACTTTACATTCGTCTAAGCTTAATAAAGATGCCAGATTTTCTGCAGACATGTTTGTTTATTTATTTTTTGTTTTTTTTTTTTAATTTTAGAACTTTTTTTATTTTTTTTTTTGGCTTATATCCAAAATTGCACTATATATATTTGTTTTTCGATTTTTCTCAAATTCTCTTAACAAAAGGTAGTTTTGTTCGCGTTCTACTCTTTTCGAAACTTTAGAATTCACTGATCGCCCGTTTTAGTTTAGAAATTTCTTACACATTTTGTTTTCTATTTTATGGTTCTAAATTTGTTTGCTATTTAATCTAATCATTTGTACAAGTGTTCCCACTTGCCACTTTTTTCAGCTACCAAAATGTCTAATTTAATTAACTGCTTATTTTTGTACGTTTTGTTTCACCATTTAGCCGATTATGTATTGAGACAAATTTTATTATTTCAATAGCGTATAGAATTTGTTTATCGAATTGCATTATCAATTATGATAAACAAAATACATTTTAGTGTTTGAGAATAATTAGGAGGGCGTATTTGAATAGTAAAGTGTCAAGTGAGAAAAGATCTTCAAAAACAGTGTGAGAATTCCTTAAGCAAACAGTTGGCTTATGAATTTTTTGTTTTATAATTTTGTTTATTATAAATATTTGCACCAATTTTCAAGTAAACAATAAGTAGATTGTTAAACATCAAAAGTTACAAAAGTTACATGAACTGATATCATATTTTATTTTTTGTCATACATATTTTGAGTATAAAATTTTGATAATTGTTTTGCTTACAATCTACTTCTTTATGACGTTTAAGTATCAACGGCCACAAATTCAAATCGCTTAAGTTTTATCTCATATTTCTTGAAATATTACTCATAAATTTATAATATTTATTTATTATGGGAGGCAAGATTATTTTGTTTATTTATAATAAGGAATGACAAATAGAAGTACAAGTGAAGATAATTTATTGACAAATAATTAGAATCTTATTCATAATCATTTATCAAAGGTTTATTGAGCAAATATTGTATGAAATTAGTAATATAGTACTTTTTAATATCGAAAAGTACCGCAGTACCCCTAGGTCATTTCGGTACTTCTTCCAACTTTTGATAAATATACCACATAATAGTTAATAGACCAGTCTATAGTCTAGTCTTCAGTTTAGTCTATAGTCTAGTCTATAGTCTAGTCTTTAGTTTAGTCTATAGTCTAGTCTATAGTCTAGTCTATAGTCTAGTCTATAGTCTAGTCTATAGTCTAGTCTATAGTCTAGTCTATAGTCTAGTCTATAGTCTAGTCTATAGTCTAGTCTATAGTCTAGTCTATAGTCTAGTCTATAGTCTAGTCTATAGTCTAGTCTATAGTCTAGTCTATAGTCTAGTCTAGTCTAGTCTAGTCTAGTCTAGTCTATAGTCTAGTCTATAGTCTAGTCTATAGTCTAGTCTATAGTCTAGTCTATAGTCTAGTCTAGTCTAGTCTAGTCTATAGTCTAGTCTAGTCTAGTCTTAGTCTATAGTCTAGTCTATAGTCTAGTCTATAGTCTAGTCTATAGTCTAGTCTATAGTCTAGTCTATAGTCTAGTCTATAGTCTAGTCTATAGTCTAGTCTATAGTCTAGTCTATAGTCTAGTCTATAGTCTAGTCTATAGTCTAGTCTATAGTCTAGTCTATAGTCTAGTCTATAGTCTAGTCTATAGTCTAGTCTATAGTCTAGTCATAGTCTAGTCTATAGTCTAGTCTATAGTCTAGTCAATAGTCTAGTCTATAGTCTAGTCTATAGTCTAGTCTATAGTCTAGTCTATAGTCTAGTCTATAGTCTAGTCTATAGTCTAGTCTATAGTCTAGTCTATAGTCTAGTCTATAGTCTAGTCTATAGTCTAGTCTATAGTCTAGTCTATAGTCTAGTCTATAGTCTAGTCTATAGTCTAGTCTAGTCTAGTCTAGTCTAGTCTAGTCTATAGTCTAGTCTATAGTCTAGTCTATAGTTAGTCTCTAGTCTAGTCTATAGTCTAGTCTATAGTCTAGTCTATAGTCTAGTCTATAGTCTAGTCTAGTTTTTTCAGTGGACACTTCCTATCACTTTTCTTGGTTTATTATTGAGGTTGATTGAACCTAATAGGTTATCTCTTGCCAGTAAGTAGGAAAATTAGTAGGTATTTTATTTGTTTTATTTATTTACAACTTTACAACAACAAAAAAGAAATTATTTATTATTTAGATAACATAAAATCTAAAAATATAGTAATTCTTAAGAAAAAGAATAAAAATATTAATTAGATAATTAGATTAATTAGTAAATGTAAATGCAATTATCGCTATCTTTGCGCAACGATAATTGCAATTACAGAATTTTATCAACACATAAAGCAAATAAACATCTTTTTATCTAGATCACTCTAAGTTAACGACACATAGAAACAAAGTCAAGATCATAGAGATAAGTTTACAACACAAACACACATACACACCTTCCCCGACACAATTAGGAAGCAGTTTGTTGTAATTGTTGACGCACTAAACGTTTCTCGTACAACATGCTACCATAGGGACGTATGGTAATGTAGTAGAAGATTTCCACAAAACTTAAGAGGCTAGCGCCCACAAATAAACCCGTAGTACCACCAATGGATACTTAGAACAGGGAAATATAATTAAGATTTTGCTGCTTCAGAACAAAATTACTAAAAGACTCACCCACTAAATCCAATTTGCCTCTAACCACATTACGTTTATAACGTTCGGTAGGTAATTCCACCAAAGCAATTTCTACTTTTGATACAGGATTTTGATTATAGATGCTGAAATTGTTAGTATATTACTACTCTTCCTTAAGACTGTACAACACATCCTTACTTCTCTTTACTATCCACCACTGTAGTAATATCCACCTCAGTACATGAAGGCAAACAATCACACACCAAACCTTTACGACCCTTAGACCATTTCGCTATAATAACCGATAAATCTTCATAGTTACGATTGAGGCACTCCAAACCATCCATATTGCATTTCTGCCAACTGGGTGTATTCGGTGATAGATGACTGGAACAATTACACAATTCTAATTGTTTATCCTTGCGACATTGAACGGTACAGGCACTATAGCTATAATAGCGATGTACATCTAAATTATTTTCATCGTTAAAACGACAATTCCGCTGTGCTACACTGGTCTCACGAATTTGTTCATCATTTTGAATGTCCCTTTTGGAAATGTGACGTCTTGATGTGGAAAATCAGAGAAAAGTTCTTTTCAGAAGGAGAAATAAGTTCCCAAAATTTATGTGAGATTTACTTACACAAAAGAGATGTAGGGACCCACTACTAAATAATCTGTTTTGGGTGTAACCAAAGTGGGTACTTCCTCTTCGCCCAAAATAAAAACCTTGAAAGAGGAGTAGAAAGATTCATGATATATCGCGATGATCTGAACTAGAATTAAACTAGAACTGAACAAGAACTGAACTAGAACTGAACTAGAACTGAACTAGAACTGAACTAGAACTGAACTAGAACTGAACTAGAACTGAACTAGAACTGAACTAGAACTGAATTAGAACTGAACTAGAACTGAACTAGAACTGAACTAGAACTGAACTAGAACTGAACTAGAACTGAACTAGAACTGAACTAGAACTAGAACTGAACTAAAACTGAACTTAGATACAAATGTACATTTGTATCTAACTTACCACAGCCTCCGTATAAATATCCATTCGCAGTGCACCTGGTCCCGTATACCTATTCGACCACATACTCAACTTGGGACCATTATTCTTTCTACAAAATAAATAAGATATATATATACAGTTGCACTTTATAAAATCGTTCCATCAACTAACCCTGCCTGCAAAGAATTTATGGCATAACAGAGACCCAATTCGGTTTCCATACGTTGAAAATATTTACAGCACTCAAAAGGTTTATTATTCCACAAACAATTCTTAATAGTATTCTCGCAACTGCTACGAACCAATTGAGCATAGTAGGAGAAATTCGAATAGAAACAATTTTCCGATGGTTCCTCACCACCACATTCGTGCACTGTGTGATACGATTCGCCACGAAAGAAAGCAATTTCACTTAGAACTTCTTCTAAAGTGAAATCGTGGTCAGCACCCCAAAGTCTTAAATATTGTAATAAAGAAGATAAGTTTTAATAATGAGTGTAATATTCCGAAAACTTACTGCTCCGCCACCTCTTGTATTCTATCCATATTTTTGGATTCACACACTACTATGGCCGGGAAATTTGTCTCCCAATCGCGATAGCTGGATTCTACACCGAAGCTAATTGCATTATTTTCAAAAGCAGCTAGGCAAAAATAATTATTATGAAAGGCTGCTAAATTGTAAAAATACTCATTTCTTTACCCAATGACACTTTAATTAAATTCCACGATGCAAACCAGGAAGCCAACAGACATAAACCCCAAAATGTCTTTTCCAACCAGGTTAACTCTTTATCCACTATAAAGCGTGCTCCATGTAATGTGGAATTTTGTAAATATTCCTCAACCACATCACGTACACGCATCATTTTCCGTTTCCTTTTTTAAAACACTTTCACCGGTACTTAGCTCTGGTTTAGTTCCTCTAAATGGTTCTCTTTTGACTGTAGTTTATGTCGCTTAGTCTAAACGTTTATAAATGTTTTCTGTTACCATAGTTTTGTATTTTAATTATTCTTTAGATGGTTTATCTTAATTGTCAAAGTGCACAAGTGTTGTAATTCCCATTATTAGCTATTACACTTTTGGGTGTTTCATTTGTATTTCAAGACAATTTGTTAATTTCAGTGAATTAAGGCAATCGCTATAATAGGCAAACACTTGTAGTTTCGATTAATATGGAATATAGCCGAGAGAAAAAGTCTTAGGTGCTGTTTCTAGATAGCATGCGAGCATTTTGAGTTAAAATTTCATTTGTATTTTGTTATTGTAACAAAAACAAAATACATTTAAAAATTTTACTCAAAGTACTCGCACGTTATCTGGAAACTACACATTAATTTAGAACTAGAACTAAAACTGAACTAGAACTGAACTAGAACTGAACTAGAACTGAACTAGAACTGAACTAGAACTGAACTAGAACTGAACTAGAACTGAACTAGAACTGAACTAGAACTGATCTAGAACTGAACTAGAACTGAACTAGAACTGAACTAGAACTGAACTAGAACTGAACTAGAACTGAACTAGAACTGAACTAGAACTGAACTAGAACTGAACTAGAACTGAACTAGAACTGAACTAGAACTGAACTAGAACTGAACTAGAACTGAACTAGAACTGAACTAGAACTGAACTAGAACTGAACTAGAACTGAACTAGACCTGAACTAGAACTGAACTAGAACTGAACTAGAACTGAACTAGAACTGAACTAGAACTGAACTAGAACTGAACTAGAACTGAACTAGAACTGAACTAGAACTGAACTAGAACTGAACTAGAACTGAACAAGAACTGAACTAGAACTGAACTAGAACTGAAATAGAACTGAACTAGAACTGAACTAGAACTGAACTAGAACTGAACTAGAACTGAACTGAACTAGAACTGAACTAGAACTGAACTAGAACTGAACTAGAACTGAACTAGAACTGAACTAGAACTGAACTAGAACTGAACTAGAACTGAACTAGAAATGAACTAGAAATGAACTAGAACTGAACTAGAACTGAACTAGAACTGAACTAGAACTGAACTAGAACTGAACTAGAACTGAACTAGAACTGAACTAGAACTGAACTAGAACTGAACTAGAACTGAACTAGAACTGAACTAGAACTGAACTAGAACTGAACTAGAACTGAACTAGAACTGAACTAGAACTGAACTAGAACTGAACTAGAACTGAACTAGAAGAACTAGAACTGAACTAGAACTGAACTAGAACTGAACTAGAACTGAACTAGAACTGAACTAGAACTAGAACTGAAAGAACTGAACTAGAACTGAACTAGAACTAGAACTGAACTAGAACTGAACTAGAACTGAACTAGAACTGAACTAGAACTGAACTAGAACTGAACTAGAACTGAACTAGAACTGAACTAGAACTAGAACTGAACTAGAACTGAACTAGAACTGAACTAGAACTGAACTAGAACTGAACTAGAACTGAACTAGAACTGAACTAGAACTGAACTAGAACTGAACTAGAACTGAACTAGAACTGAACTAGAACTGAACTAGAACTGAACTAGAACTGAACTAGAACTGAACTAGAACTGAACTAGAACTAGAACTGAACTAGAACTGAACTAGAACTAGAACTGAACTAGAACTGAACTAGAACTAGAACTGAACTAGAACTAGAACTGAACTAGAACTGAACTAGAACTAAACTAGAACTGAACTAGAACTGAACTAGAACTGAACTAGAATTGAACTAGAACTGAACTAGAACTGAACTAGAACTGAACTAGAACTGAACTAGAACTGAACTAGAACTGAACTAGAACTGAACTAGAACTGAACTAGAACTGAACTAGAACTGAACTAGAACTGAACTAGAACTGAACTAGAACTGAACTAGAACTGAACTAGAACTGAACTAGAACTGAACTAAACTGAACTAGAACTGAACTAGAACTGAACTAGAACTGAACTAGAACTGAACTAGAACTGAACTAGAACTGAACTAGAACTGAACTAGAACTGAACTAGAACTGAACTAGAACTGAACTAGAACTGAACTAGAACTGAACTAGAACTGAACTAGAACTGAACTAGAACTGAACTAGAACTGAACTAGAACTGAACTAGAACTGAACTAGAACTGAACTAGAACTGAACTAGAACTGAACTAGAACTGAACTAGAACTGAACTAGAACTGAACTAGAACTGAACTAGAACTGAACTAGAACTGAACTAGAACTGAACTAGAACTGAACTAGAACTGAACTAGAACTGAACTAGAACTGAACTAGAACTGAACTAGAACTGAACTAGAACTGAACTAGAACTGAACTAGAACTGAACTAGAACTGAACTGGAACTGAACTAGAACTGAACTAGAACTGAACTAGAACTGAACTAGAACTGAACTAGAACTGAACTAGAACTGAACTAGAACTGAACTAGAACTGAACTAGAACTGAACTAGAACAGAACTAGAACTGAACTAGAATTGAACTAGAACTGAACTAGAACTGAATTAGAACTGAACTAGAACTGAACTAGAACTGAACTAGAACTGAACTAGAACTGAACTAGAACTGAACTAGAACTGAACTAGAACTGAACTAGAACTGAACTAGAACTGAACTAGAACTGAACTAGAACTGAACTAGAACTGAACTAGAACTGAACTAGAACTGAACTAGAACTGAACTAGAACTGAACTAGAACTGAACTAGAACTGAACTAGAACTGAACTAGAACTGAACTAGAACTGAACTAGAACTGAACTAGAACTGAACTAGAACTGAACTAGAACTGAACTAGAACTGAACTAGAACTGAACTAGAACTGAACTAGAACTGAACTAGAACTGAACTAGAACTGAACTAGAACTGATACTAGAACTGAACTAGACACTGAACTAGAACTGAACTAGAACTGAACTAGAACTGAACTAGAACTGAACTAGAACTGAACTAGAACTGATAACTTAGAACTGAACTAGAACTGAACTAGAACTGAACTAGAACTGAACTAGAACTGAACTAGAACTGAACTAGAACTGAACTAGAACTGAACTAGAACTGAACTAGAACTGAACTAGAACTGAACTAGAACTGAACTAGAACTGAACTAGAACTGAACTAGAACTGAACTAGAACTGAACTAGAACTGAACTAGAACTGAACTAGAACTGAACTAGAACTGAACTAGAACTGAACTAGAACTGAACTATAAATGAACTAACTGAACTAGAACTGAACTAGAACTGAACTAGAACTGAACTAGAACATGAACTGAACTAGAACTGAACTAGAACTGAACTAGAACGGAACTAGAACTAGAACTGAACTAGAACTGAACTAGAACTGAACTAGAACTGAACTAGAACTGAACTAGAACTGAACTAGAACTGAACTAGAAACAAAATATCAATAATAAGGAAAATAATTCACATTTATTTTCTTTTAAGCGCAATTTTTAGAATCTACATTCCTAAGACATAATTATCCACTAAATCCTCCAACATATCCGTTAACCTCTCACGATATACTCGATCCGTATTAAAAGCTTTCAAACAAATTTCCACTCTCTTTCGTTCAAAGAAATCGGTGAAACCATCCGTAGAACCTGCCAAATTTTCGGTGCACTCGGGAGGCAAAATAGTCAAGTGGGAAAAGAAGCAGGACTCTATTAAACCACAACCGCGAAATTCTTTGAAAGATTCATAAAATTGTTCTGGCGGTATAAAATCGTCTATAGAAAGATTTTGCTGCTGTAGAAATTCCTTCATAAAAGTGTAATAATCCATTAACAAATCCATTAGATATTTGGACCGAAATTCTCGAGAAGTAGGTATAGTTAAAATGGTAATTAAATCCAACATAGGAGGAGCATAGCGAGCCAATTGGAAGTCCACAAAACGTGCTTGTATGGGTGTTTTGCCATCTTCAGCATACTGGAACATGACGTTATTGGCCCACATGTCACCATGAGAAAAAACATTTTGATATTTTGTAGAAGTCTGAGCCATGGGATATATAACAGCCATTTTAGTTTGCAAGTTATTTAAAATTTCCTCTAAATTATTTTTATATTTAGGCATAAGTTTAATAAATTCCTTGAAAACTTTTAAAGCATTACGGAAGTTCTGATAGCGCATGTGTTCCTTTGGATAATTTAAGGGATAAGCATTCTCCACACAAGCTTCTGCATGTAATACATTGAACTTCTGCTTTTCCTTGACCTCATAAACTATCGAGGCCGCATGCATGGCAGCCAAAGTTTTAACGGTACATTTTAAATGTGGATAATCTAACAAACCATCTCGCCCGGCTGCCATTTTATACTGCAGCAAATTTAAATCCTCCAAAACCAACAAAGTATTATCAGCATAATAACATTTGGGTGAAATTCCCGAAAAAATTTCCTCCAATTTAGGCAAAACTTCACTAAAAACTGACATTTCCTTTTTGTAAACCCCAAATTGTTCCAAGTACTCCATACGTGATTCTATTTCTATGGGGGCTGTTTTGGTAAAAAATCTTATGGTTTGTAATGCCTTTTCATTGTCTTTATCTTTATGTTTGGAGATATTAACTGTTAAGAAACGATGATAACCAAAAAATCCAGAAAGATCTTCAGACACAGGCTTTAAATTATAATCAATAACTTCAATATTTACTTCTTCCTCCTCTCCATGATCCTTTAAGTAACGATAACATAGATTCTCTATATCGTTGGGATTTAATGCTATATTGCAGTCATGTTTCCTTCAAAGTTGAGGTCTTTGATATTTATTCAAGATCTTTTTTAACGACTTAAGCAGTCAGTTTGTTGTGCTTAACTAACTTTAGAGCTAATGTTCTCTAGCTGCTGCAATTTATCTAGATTTAGTTAACGAAATGTATTTTTAGTTGACACTTTAAATCTTATTTACTTTGTAGAGATAATTTTCTTTTTATTTGAGTTATTTCATTTTAAAATCATAAAAGTTTATGGATGGTAGCATAAATAAGTACTATATTTGGCAGTTACTTTAAGACACTCTACAATCACAAGTTTTGTACTTTCATTTACACTTTTGCCCGAAGAAATATATTAATAATTTTGGATGTAAATAAATGTGATCAGCACCTCTATTTTCATCAGAAAAAGGACTTTTAAGATTTCATGAATTAGAACTGAATTAGAACTGAACTAGAACTGAACTAGAACTGAACTAGAACTGAACTAGAACTGAACTAGAACTGAACTAGAACTGAACAAGAACTGAACTAGAACTGAACTAGAACTGAACTAGAACTGAACTAGAACTGAACTAGAACTGAACTAGAACTGACTAGAACTGAACTAGAACTGAACTAGAACTGAACTAGAACTGAACTAGAACTGAACTAGAACTGAACTAGAACTGAACTAGAACTGAACTAGAACTGAACTAGAACTGAAATAGAACTGAACTAGAACTGAACTAGAACTTAACTAGAACTGAACTAGAACTGAACTAGAACTGAACTAGAACTGAACTAGAACTGAACTAGAGCTGAACTAGAACTGAACTAGAACTTAACTAGAACTTAACTAGAACTGTACTAGAACTGAACTAGAACTGAACTAGAACTGAACTAGTACAGAACTAGAGCTGAACTAGAACTAGAACTGAACTAGAACTGAACTAGAACTGAACTAGAACTAGAACTGAACTAGAACTGAACTAGAACTGAACTAGAACTGAACTAGAACTGAACTAGAACTGAACTAGAACTGAACTAGAACTGAACTAGAACTGAACTAGAACCGAACTAGAACTAGAACTAGAACTGAACTAGAACTGAACTAGAACTGAACTAGAACTGAACTAGAACTGAACTAGAACTGAACTAGAACTGGACTAGAACTGAACTAGAACTGAACTAGAACTGAACTAGAACTGAACTAGAACTGAACTAGAACTGAACTAGAACTGAACTAGAACTTAACTAGAACTGAACTAGAACTGAACTAGAACCGAACTAGAACTGAACTAGAACTGAACTAGAACTGAACTAGAACTGACCTAGAACTGAACTAGAACTGAACTAGAACTGAACTAGAACTGAACTAGAATTGAACTAGAACTGAACTAGAACTGAACTAGAACTGAACTAGAACTGAACTAGAACTGAACTAGAACTGAACTAGAACTGAACTAGAACTGAACTAGAACTGAACTAGAACTGAACTAGAGCTGAACTAGAACTGAACTAGAACTTAACTAGAACTTAACTAGAACTGTACTAGAACTGAACTAGAACTGAACTAGAACTGAACTAGTACAGAACTAGAGCTGAACTAGAACTGAACTAGAACTGAACTAGAACTGAACTAGAACTGAACTAGAACTGAACTAGAACTGAACTAGAACTGAACTAGAGCTGAACTAGAAACTGAACTAGAACTTAACTAGAACTTAACTAGAACTGTACTAGAACTGAACTAGAACTGAACTAGAACTGAACTAGTACAGAACTAGAGCTGAACTAGAACTGAAACTAGAACTGAACTAGAACTGAACTAGAAACTGAACTAGAACTGAACTAGAACTGAACTAGAACTGAACTAGAACTGAACTAGAACTGAACTAGAACTGAACTAGAACTGAACTAGAACTGAACTAGAACTGAACTAGAACTGAACTAGAACTGAACTAGAACTGAACTAGAACTGAACTAGAACTGAACTAGAACTGACTGAACTGAACTAGAACTGAACTAGAACTGAACTAGAACTGAACTAGAACTGAACTAGAACTGAACTAGAACTGAACTAGAACTGAACTAGAACTGAACTAGAACTGAACTAGAACTGAACTAGAACTGAACTAGAACTGAACTAGAACTGAACTAGAACTGAACTAGAACTGAACTAGAACTGAACTAGAACTGAACTAGAACTGAACTAGAACTGAACTAGAACTGAACTAGAACTGAACTAGAACTGAACTAGAACTGACTAGAACTGAACTAGAACTGAACTAGAACTGAACTAGAACTGAACTAGAACTGAACTAGAACTGAACTAGAACTGAACTAGAACTGAACTAGAACTGAACTAGAACTGAACTAGAACTGAACTAGAACTGAACTAGAACTGAACTAGAACTGAACTAGAACTGAACTAGAACTGAACTAGAACTGAACTAGAACTGAACTAGAACTGAACTAGAACTGAACTAGAACTGAACTAGAACTGAACTAGAACTGAACTAGAACTGAACTAGAACTGAACTAGAACTGAACTAGAACTGAACTAGAACTGAACTAGAACTGAACTAGAACTGAACTAGAACTGAACTAGAACTGAACTAGAACTGAACTAGAACTGAACTAGAACTGAACTAGAACTGACTAGAACTGAACTAGAACTGAACTAGAACTGAACTAGAACTGAACTAGAACTGAACTAGAACTGAACTAGAACCGAACTAGAACCGAACTAGAACTGAACTAGAACTGAACTAGAACTGAACTAGAACTGAACTAGAACTGAACTAGAACTGAACTAGAACTGAACTAGAACTGAACTGAAAACTGAAAGTAAAACTGACGGTCTCTGGCATTAATCGAAAGATATGCTATTATATTACTAAGATTCAAGACATCTTTTTCAAACACCCTATAGTTTTTATTTGGTATATTTTTTTAAAAACGTAAAATATTATTATTATTAACACCATAACATTTACAATCTGCTACTCGCGTCTTAAACTTTTCAAATATTTACTCACAACAATCTCTTAATATCTATCAATAAAATAATTTAAGATTCAAATACTGTTAATTTATTGTATTTATATTTAGTTATAATATATACATATACTTTTATTATTATCTTAAATAGTTACTTAACTAAAATAAAATTATCAACTAAATCTTCCAACATATCGGTTAATCTGGTCCTATAGATTTCATCCGTATGGAAGGCCTTCAAACATATCTCAATACGCTTACGATCGAAGAAATCACTAAAACCATCTGTAGAGGTGGTTAGACTCTGGGTTAGGTCCGAAGGCAATATGGTTAAATGAGAAAATAGACAAGATTCAATAATGCCAGAAATACGAAACTCCTCCAGTGAAGCATAAAGTTCTTCTTCGGTAAGGAAATCTTTTATGTTTAGCTGTTCACGTTTTAAGAATTCACTCATAAAACGATAATAGTCGGCTACAAGTTCCATAAGATATTTCGAGCGGAATTCCCGGGTAGTGGGTATGGTTAGAACGGTAATTAAATCGATCATAGGAGGAGCATAACGTGCCAATTGGAAGTCCACAAAACGGCAGTGTATGGGTATATCGCCATATTTACTATACTGGAACATAATGTTATTAGCCCACAGATCACCATGGGAAAAGACATTCTTATATTTTTGGGAAGTTTGAACTAGTTTAAAAATAACCGACATTTTATCGTGTATATTGTTGAGTATATAGTCCAGATTATCTTGATATTTAGGCATGAGTTTAATCAATTCCTTAAATACACCTACAGCATTACTGAAATTTTGATAGCGAACATGCTCTGAAGAACAATCCTTGGGATAAGCATTTTCGAAAACAGCCAAAGGATGTAGTTCATCGAATGTTTTCTTGTGTTTTACCTCAAACACCAAGGAGGCAGCATGTAAGGCGGCTAAGTTCTTAACAGCACATTTTAAATGTATGGAGTCATAAAGACCATCCCGGCCAGAACCCATCTTATAGCCTTGCTGATGCAAATCCTCAAATACCAACCAATTGTTGTCAGCATAATAGCACTTGGGTGCAATGCCCTCAAAAATCTCCTGTAGTCTGGGCAAGACATCACGATAGACAGCTATTTCCTTTTTGAAGACACCAAATTCTTCCATATACTCCATGCGTGAGGCAATTTCCATAGGAGCAGATTTAGTAAAGAATCTCAACTTCTCCACGGAATCTTGATTGTCAACATTTTTCTTGGAGATTTCCACTATCAAATAACGATGATTGCCCAAAAAACCAGCAGGATCATCCGATATGGGCTTTAGTTTATAATAGTTCACCTCAAAGTTATTGACAATTGCCGCTTGTGGTTGTTCCTTATCGTTGGCGGCATAATCCTTAAAATAGCGGCGACACAAACCCTGAACATCATTTGCGGATAATTCTATGACAGTAGCCATTGTTGCAAGTTTAATTTAATAATTGTTTTAGAGTTAATTAATTATCCGCAAGTGGTATGACTTTTTAGTTTAACTGCCTAAAACATAATGTGTTTTATAGTCTAAGATCATTTTATCTTTATTTTTAAATTTTCGCTAAAAAGTTGTTGTTTTTTTCACACAGCTCGCTCTATAATCTAAATCTGTTGCCTTCTATTTGCCTTTTTCTGCTTTTAATTTACAGCGCTAATATCTTAAATTGTAAAATAATTAAATTAGCATTTTGACGCTTCTTTTCCCAGAGTCAGCCATAGTAGAAGTGATGATCACTCCTAACACTTTCATCTAAATGAAAGAGTATCTTAATTTTTCACAAGAAATACCCCTCCATTCACAAAATTTCTTAAGCTCACGGAGTTTTCCTTTTTGTCTTATTTTTAAAACAATATTTTGACAAAAAGCCAAGATAAACTTAAGCAAATATTTAAACTTAAGAATTTATTTTGGAGATAAGAGACATTGATCGTCACAGATTTCATCAGTTTACGATTTCTCACACATCTTATTTATTTGTTTGCTTTTAATTTTTTTTTTTTTTTTTTTTTTTTCTGTTTTGGATAAAAATATAATTTCGCTTCTGTTTTTATCGCTTTTGATCATAAATATTCTTTTTTCGACTATTTTTAAACTTAAACATGTGTTTTAACTTTGCCAGCATTATTATCATTAGTTTATGAGCAAATTTATGCTTTCAATGTTTTTTTAAGTTCAGATAAACTTATAAATATAAACTGAGATATCTATGAGTGAAAAATGTAATATATAAATGATCATTGAAATAGTTTTATCAATGATCATTTATATAACTCAACCATTTAGTAAAAAATAATGTCAAAACTGTTTAAACATTCAGATGGATTGATCGAATTTAAAAAAAAAAAACTTATTTTAAAGAAAACTTTTTTAAAACATATCGATCTTAAAGTAATTCTTTATACCACCTAATGATCTCTCATAATCATTGCCAATTCTCGCACCTTTCAGCATTGCCAACTATTTTAAATAAATGGTTGTTGTCCCCACTTAAGCCTAGTTTCATTATTTTAAGCTTTCTCTATTCATTCCAACAACTTGTTTCTTTTTTAACACAATTTTTTTCCAAGCTTAAACTTGTTAGTTTTTTGTTTTAGCCAATAAAGTTAAAAGCCAACAACAATTAAACAACAAAATATTTCAGTTTTTTTTTCAGCTGCTGTTAACTTCCCTACTTGCCACAACTATTAAAAGCCAGAGATTTTTACTATTGAGGGTTTATAATTTTCAAGCAAAAACTATTAAATTCAGTTGTTTTCAAATCGTGTTTGTTTAAACTTCATTTAGCGCTTAAAACGCCAAATAATAATAAAATATAAACAATAAACTAACGGTTATTTTAATGTATTTAATTCGCATACACTAGATATTTGTAACGGTTATAATTGTTGTAAAAACACAATTTTAAGTTGTAATAATAAAGATAAAAGGATTAAAATTGGTGTGGTGATTTTACAAATTTGTTTCGTATTTGAACGATCTAAATAAAATAATGTGAGTCGTTTAACTGTATAAAAAATTGAAAAGGGTATTTTGTTTGTAAATTTAAAACTTAAAGTGAAATAAATTGTTTATTATGGAAAACTTATTTAAAATATGTAAATATTCAGAAGAGAGCCTCCTCCAGACGATGACAATTTTCTATTATATATAATTCTATAATTCTTGTTAATTTTAAATTACGAAATGTTTGACTTTTTAAATTTTATCGCTTTTAAGAACTTTTACAAAAAGAGAATTCAACCAACTTTTTGATACTCAAAACCCTGAAGAAATTTGTTCAAAGAAACATGGATTACTATAGTGGGAAGTGTATTACAAGATTACAGACTAAACTATAGACTAGACTATAGACTAAACTATAGACTAGACTATAGACTAGACTATAGACTAGACTATAGACTAGACTATAGACTAGACTATAGACTAGACTATAGACTAGACTATAGACTAGACTATAGACTAGACTATAGACTAGACTATAGACTAGACTATAGACTAGACTATAGACTAGACTATAGACTAGACTATAGACTAGACTATAGAATAGACTATAGACTAGACTATAGACTAGACTATAGACTAGACTATAGACTAGACTATAGACTAGACTATAGACTAGACTATAGACTAGACTATAGACTAGACTATAGACTAGACTATAGACTAGACTATAGACTAGACTATAGACTGACTATAGACTAGACTATAGACTAGACTATAGACTAGACTATAGACTAGACTATCGACTAGACTATAGACTAGACTATAGACCTAGACCTATAGACTAGACTATAGACTAGACTATAGACTAGACTATAGACTAGACTATAGCTAGACTATAGACTAGACTATAGACTAGACTATAGACTAGACTATAGACTAGACTATAGACTATAGACTAGACTATAGACTAGACTATAGACTAGACTATAGACTGACTATAGGACTAGGCTATAGACTAGACTATAGACTAGACTATAGACTAGACTATAGAAACTATAGACTAGACTATAGACTAGACTATAGACTAGACTATAGACTAGACTATAGACTAGACTATAGACTAGACTATAGACTAGACTATAGACTAGACTATAGACTAGACTATAGACTAGACTATAGACTAGACTATAGACTAGACTATAGACTAGACTATAGACTAGACTATAGACTAGACTATAGACTAGATATAGACTAGACTAGACTATAGACTAGACTATAGACTAGACTATAGACTAGACTATAGACTAGACTATAGACTAGACTATAGACTAGACTATAGACTAGACTATAGACTAGACTATAGACTAGACTATAGACTAGATATAGACTAGACTATAGACTAGACTATAGACTAGACTATAGACTAGACTATAGACTAGACTATAGACTAGACTATAGACTAGACTACAGACTAGACTATAGACTAGACTATAGACTAGACTATAGACTAGACTATAGACTAGACTATAGACTAGACTATAGACTAGACTATAGACTAGACTATAGACTAGACTATAGACTAGACTATAGACTAGACTATAGACTAGACTATAGACTAGACTATAGACTAGACTATAGACTAGACTATAGACTAGACTATAGACTAGACTATAGACTAGACTATAGACTAGACTATAGACTAGACTATAGACTAGACTATAGACTAGACTATAGACTAGACTATAGACTAGACTATAGACTAGACTATAGACTAGACTATAGACTAGACTATAGACTAGACTATAGACTAGACTATAGACTAGACTATAGACTAGACTATAGACTAGACTATAGACTAGACTAGACTATAGACTAGACTATAGACTAGACTATAGACTAGACTATAGACTAGACTATAGACTAGACTATAGACTAGACTATAGACTAGACTATAGACTAGACTATAGACTAGACTATAGACTAGACTATAGACTAGACTATAGACTAGACTATAGACTAGACTATAGTGAAAACTATAGACTAGACTTTAGTGAAGACTACAGACTAGACTATAGTGAAGACTATAGACTTGACTATAGTCAAGACTAAAAATATATAGAGAATATGGATTTTAGTCAAGAGCATAGAATGCTCGTTAGTGTAGACTACAGAATGCTTTATGGCCAAGACTATAGAATGCTCTATATTCAAGACTATAGAATTCTCTATAGTCAAGACTATAGATAATTCTATGATCAAGACTATAGAATAAGAGCATTATATTTAGTCTAGCATTATATAGTCTATAGTCTAGCATTATATAGTCTATATAATATAGTGTCATCTATAGTCAAGACTATAGTATTATCTATAGTCAAGACTATAGAATTCGTTATAGTCAAAACTATAGAATTTTCTATTGTCAAGAATATATTTTCTCTATATTCAAGACTATAGTCAGGACTATCGAATACATGATAGTCAAGACTATAAAAAAGTCTATAGTCAAGACAAAAGTCTACAGTCAGTAATAATCTAAAGTCAATGCTGTAGGTAGAGTAGACTTTAATCAAGACCTACTTAAGGTTTTTATTGATAAAAAAAATGATTTTAAGATCCATCGTAAACATAGGGTCTCGGAAAGTTGATCAACCAAAATATAAAATGCATGATTGAAATTCTCCATAGTTATTTAGTACGTTTTATTATTTTTGATATGGACTCAAGATTGCCCACCACAGAGGAAAATATTATAATCCGCTAAAAAACAATAAGAGGAACAAAACATTTAGCCATATTTTCAAGGTCAGAAATTTAAAAACATGAAGACTTGCAAATCACCGTTCGTACTGTTGATGGCACTCTAGGTGTTGGTGAAGTAAAATAGCACGCTACAAAAATTAAATAAATACAAAATTCCCAAAAACAAACTAATACTAAAGAAAAGCGAACCAGCAACAATTTGTTAATGCACTTCACGTACGAATTATAACAAAAGTGCGGTCATCGAAATAAACAAAAATAATATAAATTAATACTAAACCAGGTAGAAACAACAAAAACATAATATGAGTGTTAAAGAGCCGTGAAAAATACTCTTTAGATTAACATAAAACTAAAATTTAAAACATTCTTTTTAAAAAATTTACATAAATAAATTAACCGTTTACTTTTTCAACGGAAAATAAAGATCAAATATATATGTATGTATGAATGTATATGGTGGTGCCAGGAATACTGATCTATATAAAGACCTTCCACCAATAAAATGGCCTAGATTTTAATTATTTTCTCATAATATTCTTGCATACAACTCACTTTTAGCTGTTAATGTCAGCATTTTAATTTATTTTTGGTTTTTTGTTTATACTTAAATAAATTTTTATTACTTAATAATAATAGTAATGCAATCGTTATTGAAAAATTTTTGCTGCGGGTAAGCGCGTATGTCTGTCTGTGTATATAAATTTATGCAAACATGTGTGACTTGCATACCCACTGTGCTAATAAATGTCTGCGACTGATGGACAAACCGACGGACGGACGTATGGATGGACGGGCATTCATACTACTTATGTATATTATTACAAATTTATGATGATGGTCAATGGTAGAATAAAAACTATGTATACTTTTAGTTAGTTTATTAATTGTTCGTTGTTTTGGTTGTTTTTGTTGTTATTTATACTGTTTTTAGTTTGTGTTTATTATTAAAACAAAGCACTTGTAGTACATACTAGTATCTTATGAATATTGGCAATTTGTTGTTTTCCCGCCTTTACTTGGTTTTTTACTTGATTTTTATGGGGAGTGTTTGTGTTACAGGTAAACTTTAAGCTTGCAAAATTGTTTTTTTTTTTTTTTGTAATTACATCATTTGGTTGTAGAAGGTGGACATGAAGTGGTTCTTTTCGAGTTGCAATTTATTAATAACATTTACAATTTTTTAGCAAATATTATTTAACTAAAATATTGATAAAGAGAGTTTTAAACATACAGTCTAGTCTATAGTCTAGTCTATAGTCTAGTCTATAGTCTAGTCTATAGTCTAGTCTATAGTCTAGTCTATAGTCTAGTCTATAGTCTAGTCTATAGTCTAGTCTATAGTCTAGTCTATAGTCTAGTCTATAGTCTAGTCTATAGTCTAGTCTAGTCTAGTCTATAGTCTAGTCTATAGTCTAGTCTATAGTCTAGTCTATAGTCTAGTCTATAGTCTAGTCTATAGTCTAGTCTATAGTCTAGTCTATAGTCTAGTCTATAGTCTAGTCTATAGTCTGTATAGTCTAGTCTATAGTCTAGTCTATAGTCTAGTCTATAGGTCTATAGTCTAGTCTATAGTCTAGTCTATAGTCTAGTCTATAGTCTAGTCTATAGTCTAGTCTATAGTCTAGTCTATAGTCTAGTCTATAGTCTAGTCTATAGTCTAGTCTATAGTCTAGTCTATAGTCTAGTCTATAGTCTAGTCTATAGTCTAGTCTATAGTCTAGTCTATAGTCTAGTCTATAGTCTAGTCTATAGTCTAGTCTATAGTCTAGTCTATAGTCTAGTCTATAGTCTAGTCTATAGTCTAGTCTATAGTCTAGTCTATAGTCTAGTCTATAGTCTAGTCTATAGTCTAGTCTATAGTCTAGTCTATAGTCTAGTCTATAGTCTAGTCTATAGTCTAGTCTATAGTCTAGTCTATAGTCTAGTCTATAGTCTAGTCTATAGTCTAGTCTATAGTCTAGTCTATAGTCTAGTCTATAGTCTAGTCTATAGTCTAGTCTATAGTCTAGTCTATAGTCTAGTCTATAGTCTAGTCTATAGTCTAGTCTATAGTCTAGTCTATAGTCTAGTCTATAGTCTAGTCTATAGTCTAGTCTATAGTCTAGTCTATAGTCTAGTCTAGTCTAGTCTATAGTCTAGTCTATAGTCTAGTCTATAGTCTAGTCTATAGTCTAGTCTATAGTCTAGTCTATAGTCTAGTCTATAGTCTAGTCTATAGTCTAGTCTATAGTCTAGTCTATAGTCTAGTCTATAGTCTAGTCTATAGTCTAGTCTATAGTCTA